GATCTTCTACAGTGGCAAAGAACAATCACTTGAGCTCTGTGGCCTAGGTTTGGCGTAGTCCTCTGGGATCCACTGACTGTGAGTGTCTTGTTTGATCAGTGCTGGCGGTGACCTAGAAACTTCATTTGTCTTCCTCCCCGATGGACTTGCTAAGCCCTTCCTGCAGCTGATCATCCTGGGCAGTTGACTTGAAGTCATATATGCAATGCTTTATTCCAAAGGAGAACTGAGACCCTTAGATGACTACCCATTTTCTTTTAGATTTTCCTAGAGAAGATTTGACAAAGCTTATTAAAATTCAGCAACAGAAGCCCCACAATTACTTGGGTAACTGTATTCCAGAAGGCATAACATAGCTCTCTGGGTGGCAGGGCCTTATGACAGTTGTAAGAAAGCAGACCCAAACATGTTCTGTTGGGAAATCCTTAGATCTCCATCCAAAACGCAGTCAGCACTACACTAGAAAACTTGCTTGTCTCTCTGGAGTTCTATCAGGCCTACAGGACATTTTTTTCCCCCTAAAACTTCAAGATTGGAATCTACTGCAGCAAAGTGATGGCCTGGAGGCATATGTGCAAAGGGCAACTAATTTTTTCATTTAAAGTGAAGTGTTATTTATTTATAGGCACAAAAGGTCTTCTACATTTAAAAGGTCTCCTTTCTAACCCTCTCACTCTCCTCACCCAAACCTTCAGAGGTTACCACTGATACCAGGGGCTTGAGTATCTTTATAGACAGATTCAGTGCACACACAGCATGTGCACTCACATTTAAACAAACAACAACATACATACATATATACACTATTAGATACTTTTAAAAACTTAATGGTCTCTCATGGTTGTTATTCAGTATCAATACTTACAGAACTCATTCATGAATTTTTGTGGTTGCATAGCATTCCATTATTTGGTTGGCTGTAAGGTAATTTATTTAATCAATCTTAGCTAATGGACATTTAGGTTATTTCCCATTTTATACTATGAAAACTATACGTTAGTACATTGCATGAATTTGATTTACTACCTCTGTGACTGTATCGGTAAGGTAAATTCCTAGAAGCAACATTTCTGGGACCAAGATACGCATTTTAAATTTTGATAGTTTTGCCAACTTGCTCTTCAGGGATGTTATACTAATTTAAACTCCCCTACCCTAACAATGTGTAAGAGTGTTTGCCTCTTTTATCTATACCTTTATCTAAGCAGCGTATTTTATACTTTTTGATGTTTGCCAATCTGATAGGATAAAAATATTATCACAGAGTTTTAAATATGCATTTTTCTTATGGCTAACACTGAATATATTTTTATCCATTTGTATTTCTACTTTAGTGAATTATCTGTATATCCTTTGCTCATTTTCCTATCAGGTTATTGGTCTTTTTCTTATTGATTTGATGGAACTATTTATATTTTGAGGAAATTAAATCTACTTACATGTAGAGAAAACTAATCCTTTTCTATGATATGAGCTATACACCTTTTTTTTTTTCCAAATTTTGATATTTGCCTTTTGACTTTATGAAATGAAGAATTTGTTTTCCTGCAGTAGAATTTTTTGATCTCTATGACTTCAGGGTTTTTATCATATTTGAAAGGTTATGGGTTCTATATATTCCCTAGTATTTTCATCTAGCACTTTTATGATTTTTTTTTTCATTTAAATCTTTATTTCTTATTTCGGTATGAGGTAACAAACTTTCTATTTGGATAATGAAGAGTTTTGGCTGTGAGGAAGTGTCCTGTTTTTTATTAGTAGTGTCTGGGCGTTTCCTATTAATTTCTCTCTTGTAATGACAGAGTGAAGCAACCTGCTTTGTGGTGATAGGCAGCAAGGAGTCCAGTTGGACATGGAACAATTTTAAGTCACAAGATTAATGGCAGTTACTGAGGACCAGACTGGGCAAGTTGCCAGAAAGTAGAGTTTGAGGTCGTGGTAAAGACCTCTTAAAAGGCAGCCTCAGCATAGCTGAAGCTCCAAGATGAGCATCAACAGAGGTGATTTTAGCATTTGGAGAACTCCGAGTGAGCCCTGGTGTTCAAGAAGGTCTTGAGTTGTTTGTGGCCTTCTCTGCTCAGGCTGTTACAGATTCCTTGGTTGACTCTATTTCTCATTGAGTTCAAAAGTGGTTCTCAGCTGCTGCATTGGAGTCTGCTAGGGAGATTCTGACTTAACCCATCTGAGGTGAGACCTCAACAACAGCCCTATGAAAACTTCCCATGTGATTCTAATCTGTGGCTAGGACTGAGAACCACAATTAACACCATCAATTTGCCATCTCTTTGAGTCAGGGATTACAATACCTGCCTCAGTGCTTCCAAAGGAACACACAAATTGCCTAGGGATTTAAATACAGAGTTGCCAGGTCTAGGGTGGGATTTGAGATTCTGCAAGTCTAGCAAGCTCCCAGCTAATACTCTGGCTGTTGGTCCCCAGGCCACACTTGTGTGTCTTGAGCTTATTACTCAAAGTGCAAAGCTCTGGTGTACAGTAGTCCATGAGAGTCAAAAGGTATGTTTCTGCAACCATCCTGCCCTCTGGCAAAATTTACTTAGTGTCTAGAAATAATGCTTGAGTCAAGAGATCTGCTTTTCACACCAGACCTGCCCCTAATTAATTAGTTCTAAGACAGGCGTCTTAAAATTGCTTCAGTCCTTCCCCTTCTTATCTCTAAAATGAGAGGGTTGAGCTGAGTGAACTATATAGTTCCCTTTGTTCCTACATCTTCCCATGCTGGTCCAGGATGTTTTCAGACTCTGTGTGGCTCAGGTTTTTATGTGGGACGGAGGTCTGGATTCTGCAGTTAAGACCTGGCATCCCTCCAGGATTGGGGCCTAGGTGCTTACTTATGGTCTGTTGGGGAAAATAAAACTCACAAATGTTAAAAAAAATTAAAGAAGAGTTAACGTTAAATTTTAAGCTACAGTAAGTGCAGAAAGAATGCCGGGAAGTTAGAGAAGGGTGTTGATTGGAACAGTCAGGAGAAACTTCATTGCCAAGGGGAGATTTGAGTTAACATCATTTACCGGGCTGGATGGACTGCAGGGCTGACGTAGGGCAGCAGTTCTCCTGCTTTTGTGTTTTCATGTCTTTAAACAAAGATCTTTCAACAGAGAAGAACAAAACATATTTTTCTGCGTTAAATTAAAACAATGTAGAAGAAGGACTGACTTCTGTGGAAGTAAATGTTTGAAGGGGAATCAAAATGCTAAAAACTCTTTTTTCTATATTAAATTTTTTGAGGCTAATCTTGACCGTTAAGAGAGTGATACTGAAAAGGAAATTGTCACTACCAAATATAGGCTGAGTCAAAATCCCCTGTACACCTCTCTGTAGATAATAATAAATAGAATTAGAAATTATCTATAATGGAAACAAAAATTTCCTGAATTATAAGTAATATTGAAAATGACATCTTTCTCAACTTATTGGAAAAGAAACCAGATTATTGAGACTTTATAACATAGGCACACAGAAATCTGATTCCATCTGTTTTGACATCAAAGGAGATCTACTTTGCATTATAATTAGAATTTTATTAAATTGTATATTAATATAATTATGCATCCAGTGCTCAGGTATAGAAAATACAAAATAGAGTGGTTATCATCATTTGATGGTTGTATTTAGTGCACACAGTTTAGCTCTAATTGTTCTCTTGAATGTCATCAGAGTTTTGGTTTTTATCTCTGTTGCTAGATTTATTTTGAAATTGTGGACTGCCCATACTTTTTCTTGAAAACACATACCATTATAGTTTTATTATACCTTCATGAGCTGCCTAATGATGTTTTGGTCAATGATAGACCACATAGATGTCATATATGGTTATAATAAGAGGAACTACCAGTAAATAATACTGGTATTTTTACTGTATCTTTTTTGTGTTTAGATACACAAATAATTATCATTATGTTACACTTGCCACAGTATTTAGTATAGCAACATGCTGTGTGGGTTTGTAGCCTAGAAGCATCCTACTCTCCAGGAAAGAATCCTCTCTTGCCTCTTCTAGTTTCTGGTGGTTGAGGGAGATCCTTGGCTTCCGTTAGCTTAGAACATCCATGCCTACTCCAATCTTCATGAGACTTGCGCTTCTGTGTATTTGTGACACTATATCCAAATTTCCCTCTTCTTAGAAGGAGATTAAGTAACCACTTCTTCCTTAGTTATTATTTTAATTCTGTTAAAATGTAAAAATGTTGGCATGACAATTTGGTGGATAATTAATATTTATTGGTATATGAGCATGTTTGTGCATGGGGAGGTTACTTTATTGAATTCAAACAAATGTTCTCTTAAAAAAATGGAGCTAACCACAGTTAGATGAATATCTTCCATTAGTATATTTAAAAGCAAGTGCAAGAGACAGGAGAGACATTCAACCGGTGAAGGGCTTAGAAACCATATCTTGGAAGGAAAATTTGCAAATGGTGGTCATTTGTTCAGCTCTTTGAATAAGAGCTTTGTGGGAAAGAGGTTAGACTCCAGAGGGCAGAACTAGAACCAGTAAGTTAAAGTCAAAGGGAAATATTTCAATACATTATAAGACAAAACTTTCTCAATGTACAGTGCACTAAAATGGAAGTGGCTGTTACACTAGGGGTAAAGAATGCAGGTTCCTGGGAGTGCTCAGACAGATGTTATATAGACCTTTCAAGGACATTTTCATTGAGATCTTACCTTGGAAAAGAAATTGAAATGGGAAGTCCCTTCCAGCTTCAAGATCTGACACAAATCCTCTGAAAATTATTCTCAATGTATATGCACTAAAAATCAATATTAATTATGTGACAAGATATTTATATAAGTTTAAATGCTATTTAAATACTATTTAAGATTAGTATACTAGTCTCTTTATTCATGTTCTCTCACATCATTTAGTACACTTAGTTTTTCATTGCTCAGTTTGGAACTTATCAGAAGTAGTTTCTAAAATGATGAATTATTAAAATAATTGGCATTTTCTCTCTTTTTTCTTTGGTAATGGAACACAGGACTGTTCTGATGGTTACATGTACAAAATACACTTTCACATTAAAAATGGGACTGTGGTGTCACATCCAGGGACATCTGGCCATGGACAGACATGTCTTCCCTTGGAGGTGAGTAGTTTAACCCTTCATGTTCTCCTTTCCAGTTTTATGAAGTATAAGTTTGAGAATTTAAATCTGTGAAGTATGTATTTTTGTTGTTGTTGTTGTTTTTGTAGAGACAGTTTCACATTATCACCCATGGTAGAGAGCTGTGGCATCACACAACTCACAGCAACCTCCAACTCCTGGGCTTAGGCAATTCCCTTGCCTCAGGCTCCTGAGTAGCTGGGACTATAGGCACCTGCCACAATGCCCGGCTATTTTTTGTTGCAGTTTGGCTGGAGCTGGGTTTGAACCTACCACCCTCGGTATATGGGGCCAGTGCCCTGCCCACTGAGCCACAGGTGCTGCCCGAAGTACGTATTTTTAACAGTAAACTACCACTGTAGGCAGTGGCACATGTCACACCTCCTGGGTGAAGGGCTCAGCTACAACTTGTACTTTACCTAACAAATGCAAACAATGTAACCTAGTTGTATGTAGCCTTATATTAATCTGAAATAAAAATAAATAAAATTAGTGATCACTAAAAAAAAGAAAAAAGGATTTCCATTGAATACTGAACCTGTTGTAGGGGGATAAGGAGGCATTTATTTTTGTAATATGGAAAGCAGGAATTGTGGCAAAGCTAAAGATCCACTCTGAGTCTATTCAGACTGTAGTGAGCCTTTGTACTTTTGGTTTTTCTTAGCTCTGAAGACCACAGGTGCCTTCTATTTTCTATTGATTTATTCCCCCAGTTATGTTCCCCCAGGATCATACAGACCTATACCTAGACTGCTTAATGCTTTTCTGGAGACCTCTTTGCCTGGTCTACCTTTGCTTTTTCTCTAGCCCTTTGAAAATATGTTTGGTTTGGGTTTCATTCCTTAGGGGATATTAACCTTAACTTGAAAACCTTGCTAAATTAAATTTTACTAAGATGCTAATGGTTTAGTGATTTTCTGGGATATTTTCAATTTTTTTTATCAAAATGCAAATAGTTTATTTTATTACTTATTGTTAAAAATTATATATATCCACTGTAAAAATGACAATAGGGAAATGTATAAAAATGGTAAAAAAAATCTCCCATACCTCTGCCCTTCAATAAATAACCACTATTAATATTTTAGTAAATATCCTTTCATACATTTCTATCATATACACATATGCATACTTGCTTTTTTTGCAGTGACCAAGTATATTGTAAACATCTTTTCATGTCTATTAAAGCAGATTTCCTTAGTTATTTTTAATGGCTTCATTGCATTCTATCCTGTGGAAGCACCAAAATTATGTGGAGCTCATCTTGAAGTAAAATAATTGAATTTTGAAAGGATAATTGTTTCAATACCAAAAATAAGAATTCATGAATGCCTAAATTCTGAGCATCCTAGTAAAATAGGAGAGGTGACTTTTTGTTTGTTCAGAAAGAGCTCTTTCTAAGAACCTGTTAAATCAGGCCCACTTTAGCAATTGGGTGTTAGCTCTCTCTGCCTGTGTGTAATTATGGCCTGGAAGTAACTTTCACCAATATACAGTAGTAGAACTTCCATAGTTGACCACTTCCCTACACTGACCATCTTTGTAAGGTGACCTAATTTCTATAGACTAGATGGACATGGACTACATGTGTGTATCAGTACAGTAGGCCAAATTCCTTATGTTGACCCCCCCTGCGTGTTGACCAGTTTGTTACAGTTCCTTGGGTGGTCAACTTACAGGAGTTCTACTGTAATTTGGTTTCTAAGTTATTCTCCAGGGAATTGTACTTGATGATAAGCTGAGTAGCCCCAGATGGGTGCTTGAATCTTGATTACTGCTTCATGGTTTCAGTAACCAACATCAAATCTGAAGCCAAGAATATTAGGAAGCTTTTCAATTCATTATATATTAACTTTAAAAAGTTTAAAGAAATTAACATAAAAATGATGACTTAAAAGATGAATTACCAGTTTTGCCTCACAAGTTGGCAGAGATTTCAAAAGCACTAAAAACTGGTGTTGACAGTGTGAGGGAACTGACACTTTCTGGTTGATGTATTAACTTCACAAAGTTTAAAGATGTGCACATACTACAAATAATCTATTCCAAGTCTAGGAATTTAGCCTCATAAAGTATAAGTTTTTCCAACATTTTTTTATTTCCAACATTTTTCCAACAAATTTCAAACATATGGAAAAATTGAAAGAATTTTGCAGTGAGTATCCATATACTTACCACCCAACATTATGCTGCACTTGCTTTATCATGTATCAATCCCTCTGTCCATCTATCAACACATCTTTTTTGATGTAATATTATACATCGAAGTAAATTGCAGACAAACACTCATAAAATAATAAAAAATGTAAACAGTCATTTACCTGCAAGTATTTTCCTCTCATCATTATTTATAATAGAAAAAAGTGAAAACAATTAAAATGCACAACAGTAATGAATTGGTTAATTGAGGCACATCTTTATGATAGATGCAGCTATTAAAAATGATCTATTTAATTGCAAGGATTAAGTGTGCATATTAAGTGAAAAAGGAGATTTTGTGGTATGAACAATAGAATCCAAGTATTGTTAATACTTTTCAGACTATCTATTGACTATTATGATTTTAAATCATTATTCTTTTTTCTTTTTTCATTTATCTCTTCAAAAAGTGAAACTTACACCTTTTCTCTCACCCTCTTGAAATCCCTGGGATTATTTTTGCTTGGTCCAGTGATTTTATTTTGAGTCACCATCCATCCTCATAAGCTTCCTTTACTGCTGTCGCTCTTGTACAAATCTCACTGTCTCTCTTTCCAAAGAGCAGAGGAAGATTTTAGAATAAGACAATCCAGTCCAGGGGTCCTCAGACTTTTTAAACAGGGGGCCAATTCACTGTCCCTCAGACTGTTGGAGGGCCAGACTGTGGGCCCCGGGACAAGTCGCTGCTAAGCAGGACAGGCAGTGGTGGCAAAAACACCCGGTGGGCCGGATAAATGTCCTAGGCAGGCCGCATGTGGCCTGCGAGCTGTAGTTTGAGGACGCCTGGTCCAGTCCAATAAGATATACCGTCATGATGTATCTCCCACCCCCCCCATAGCAGAAACAGTAATTGAAAGTTACATATACAAATATATATATATAAACATATATACATACATATTTAAGGAAGGAAGATTACATATACGAATGTATATATACATTTGCGTAGTTTCATAGTAGGGCTGAGTACATTGGATACTTTTTCTTCCATTCTTGAGATACTTTGCTAAGAAAAATATGTCCAGCTCCATCTATGTAAACATGAAGGAGTTAAAGTCTCCATCTTTCTTTAAGGCTGCATAATACTCCATAATATTCCATGGTATACATATACCAGTTTATTGGTCCTTTGGTGGATCGATGGGCACTTGGGCTTCTTCCATGATTTAGCAATTATGAATTGGGCTGTAATAAACATTCTGGTACAGATATCTTTGTTGTAATGTGATTTTTGGTCTTCTGGCTATATATCTAGTAGAGGATCAAATGGCAGGTCTATTTTTAGATCTCTAAGTGTTCTCTAAACATCTTTCCAAAAGAGACGTATTAGTTTGCATTCCCACCAGCAGTGTAGAAGTGTTCCCTCTTCTCCACATCCACACTAACATCTCTTGTTTTGGGATTTTGTGATATGGGCTAATCTTACCGGAGTTAGATGATATCTCAAAGTAGTTTTGATTTGCATTTCTCTGATGATTAATGATGATGAACATTTTTTCATATGTCTATAGGCCATGCACCTGTCTTCTTCAGAGAAGTTTCTCTTCAAGTCTCTTGCCCACCCTGAGATGGGATCACTTGTTCTTTTCTTGCTAATATGCTTGAGTTCTCTGTGGATTCTGGTTATTAAACCTTTGTCAGAGACATAACCTACAAGTATCTTCTCCCATTCTGAGGGCTGTCTGCTTGCCTTACTTACTATGTTCTTGGCTGTGCAGAAGCTCTTTAGTTTGATCAGGTCCTAATAGTGTATTTTTAATGTTGCTTCAATTGCCCAGGGTGTCCTCCTCATAAAATGTTTGCCCAGGCCAATTTCTTCAAGTGTTTTCCCTA